GCTCAAATGTCCCCAGAACATCCCCACGCTCCTGGATGCTGCCATGCTCCAGATCAACTTGTACCTCTCCGTGCTGGCCACCCTCGGGTGAGGCCGCGGCATTCCCGAAACCGGGATCGGGCCGCATGCGCGCGCGGAGCCCTTCGGCTGCTTTTCCCGCCTTTGTTTTCCCTTTTTCCCACTGTTTTCCGGCCTCCTTTGCCACCCAGGTCTCCTCGTCCCGCTCCGCCCCAGCCGGCTCCCGCCGCTGCTTCCGCTCCGGAAAATCCAGCGGAAGATCCGGCTCCGTGAGGCCGCGGCATTCCCGAAACCGGGATCGGGCCGCATGCGCGCGCGGAGCCCTTCGGCTGCTTTTCCCGCCTTTGTTTTCCCTTTTTCCCACTGTTTTCCGGCCTCCTTTGCCACCCAGGTCTCCTCGTCCCGCTCCGCCCCAGCCGGCTCCCGCCGCTGCTTCCGCTCCGGAAAATCCAGCGGAAGATCCGGCTCCGCTCCGCTCTCCGGATCCGCTCGCCGCTCAGCCTGATCCCGAGGCTCCCACAGGTGCGTGGCCTCCCTTGTTCCCAAACGGATCCTGATCCCGAAAGCCGCCGTTCCCAAAAGTCACTGTTCCCAAATGCCACCGTTCCCAAATGCCACCTTTCCAAAAAAAAAAACTTTTCGGGAAGCACCTGCTCTCCTTTTGGGAGCGTTACAGCAATGATGGAATCAAGATGCCACGTGGCTTTTGGGAGCAATTTTGGGAGCTTTTTTGGCTGCTTTTCCCTAAATTTCAGCCGTTTTCCTGCGCTTTCCGCTTGGGATTCCTCACGCGGCTCCGCTTCATTCCCGCAGCTCCCGGGGGTGCCGAAGGCTTCGCTCCGGATGAAGACGGAGACGAATCGGCTCTGCTGGGAGAACCCGACGCCGCCGAACTCCGGAGGCGCCGGCTCCAGAAACTGGGATCGCCGCCTTCCTCCTCCTCCTCCTCCCCGCACTGACGTCTTCCCTGGCTCCGACATGGGATTTTCCCCATTCCCTGCTTTTCCTCCCTCCTTCCTCTTCCTCCCCGTTACCGCCGCAACTTCCTGGGAGCCGGAGCGGAGAAGCCGCTTCCGCGATCCCGTCGACGTGCCGAGGAACGGACGCGTCTTGAGCCGGATTCAACCTCTTTATCCAACTTTTTTATCCCCGTTTTCAACTAAAAATTCCCAAAACGTGGAATCTGGAAGCAAAGCCCCTCCCATCTGCGACTCCTTTTCTGGATCCGCTGGCTCCGGATCGGAGCACGTGGCTGTGGCCCCCTTTTCCTCTCCGGTAGCTTCTTTCCGCCTCTTTTTTCCCAGTTTTCTTTCTACCTCTCTGGAATCCCGGGATCTCTCTCCACGCTGCCGAACGGGAAGACGTCTCGGAGGAGCAGGAAGGCTCTGGATGTTTGGAAGTGCTTGGAAGCCGGAGGAGTCAATGGAAACGTTTCCAGGGCTGCGGAGAGTCCGAATTTGGAAGCGGTTTGGGCAGATCCGGAAGCTCCGGCCGCGTTGGGATCCAGTGGCTTTTCCGGAAAGCCTCCCAATCCCTTGGGATTTGTCCAGGTTTCTTCTCCGAGCGCTTTGGACCGGGACCCGTATGGAATCCCTAGAGAAATGGCCTCGTCCCTCTCTCCCCGCTTGGTTTTAGCGGCAATTCCAGAGGGTGGGAAGCCCAAAGCCGCCCGGGAGCGAGCGGATCCCATCCCGCGGCTCCAAGGGTTTCATCCACCTCCTTTTCCGGAGGGATTCCTGCCAATGGACAGTATTAGCGGATCTCTCCTAGGAATCCGGATCACCGCCACTGGGAGCCGGACCGGCCATCGGAGCATCCCAAGGGAGACCCCCCAGCATTCCCTATGGAGATCCCAATAAACCCTCCGCTTCTCCGGCCTCGTCCTCTCCGTCTACGCAATTCCCCAGGGAGCATCCGGATCAACACCGGGATCCCGGCACCGGCCATCCCGCTCCATTGATTCCCAGGTCCTTCCCACCCGGATCCCGGCGCCTCCGGAGCCGCGTTTCCCGCTCCGCGACGTTCCCGCTGTTCAGTGCCTCTCTCCGCACCCAAGCGGCTTCTGCTCCTTCACGGATCTCAGGGAAAACAGCCGGAAGGGGCACGGGAAGCTCCGGGCCCTTCCCTTTTCCAATGGAAAAAAAGGCAGGAAGCGGATTGGGGGGCAGCAGGAGGTTTGTCCCGGATTCCCACTGTATCCTATGGGGAGGCTCCGATTGACCTCGCACAATCCCGGCCTCTTCCCGTCCTCCTTTTTCCCCGCTCCATCATTTTTCCGGAATAATTTGGGAATGGAGGGAAGTTCCTTATCGAAAAACAGTGGGTTTTGAGCGACTCGGCAATAACGGAGCGGCGCTCGGAGGCGTCCGCCTCCTTTTTCCTTAAATAATTTTTTTTGAGTGGAAAAACGCAGATTTTGGGGCCGTGCCTGGCAATTTAACCCGCGCCGCCTCCTTCCCCCCCCCCCCTTTTTTTTTTTTTTAATTTCCTCCCGTTTCCTTTTCTAGGTGGTGGCGGAAGGGGGGTGGGGTGGGATAATTATTTAATTTGTAAATAATGTACAAATTTTTAATAGCTTGATTGTATATACGGCGCAATAAAGATTGCAATAAAGCTCGGCGGCCATCTTGACACCCCCTTTCCCCTCCCCGCCAAGGCCTGTCCGGTCCTCCAGGGACCCCGCGGGCTCCTCTGGTCTCTCTTCCCTCAAGTCTCTATGGTTCCCAAGGGCCTGGGTGGCTCCTCCAGGAGCCCATGGGGTCGGTGAGGAGCAGGGGCCGCTCTGGCCTCCCTTTCCCGTCGTGTCTCTATGGTCCCTCCCTCTCTATGGTCACTCGCTGGTGGTCAAGGAGCCTTGTGACCGCTCTGGTCTTTTTTCCTGAGTGCTCTATGGTTGCTAGCGAGGCCGCTCCGCGTCTCTATGGTTGCCCAGGAGCCTCCCCGTCGCTCTGGTTTTCCTCCCCGCATCTCTATGGTTGCCCAGGAGCCTATTGGCCGCTTTCTTTCCCTCCCCGTGTCTCTATGGTTGCCCAGGAGCCTCCTGACCGCTCTGGTTTCTCCTTCCCCGTGTATCTATGGTTTCTTAACAGCTTCCTGGCCGCTCTGCTTCCTCTCTCCGCGTCTCTGTGGTGGCCGAGCGGCCTCCCGGCCGCTCTGGTTTTCCGGTCCGCGCCTTCCCGCCCTGCTCCGGGCGCCCTCTCTACCATCGAGACGTCG